GATCCCCGGCTGTGCACCAATGGACTTTCAATGCATTTAACATTTGCTCGAACGGTGGAGGAAAACATCGTGAGGAAACCAAAAAGTCGGTTTTATATATCAGGCACAGGCGTGTGATCCTATTAGACAAATAATCATGAAACAGATACAGAAATCTGAGGCCCAGACCTAAAAAAATGGTTGTAGCGCCACTGATTTATTTATTTTTTAAACATATGGTATAAAACCGATAGATTATACTATAAAACCGGTAAAATATGCTATAAAACCTTAAAATTATGCTACAAAATCTTAAGATCATTCGGGCGGCGTGATAGTTTTTATATTGGTTATAGATGTCACGGCACGATATGTCCATTGTCAAGTCGTATCATATTCTTACGTTGACGAAATTCAGGTGGACGTGACCACCTTTTTAGAGGTCTGGATCTACACTTACCTCTCAGTTTTATTGATAACTAATAAACGAATAGTAATCGTTACGTAACGTTGCGTGGTAAGATACGGAAGGCTCACTCGGGCAATGGAGCAGCGAGTGAGCGCAACGTAAACACGTTTACATGCTATTGCAAATTATGTTTTTTCATTACAACTCATTATGTGTAATAGCATATAATTTTAATTTATTTGAACCGTAATAATCTTAATACTCTCGAAATAATAGCAATTGCTTATAAGTTGAATGCGAGAACTGTTGAGCCAGCTATAGGGAACTTAGATGTATTTCTACAATATTTTCATTCAACAGTAAAAGCATCATGTTTGTTTACTTTAAATAACTGTGTCGGCGGGAATTTAGAACTAATTAAACGTCAACCGCTAAGCCACAGACGCGGTTGTGTAGTACGTATTTTTAAAGTGGCACAAAGTAATCAAACCGTGTTTAAAAATGGAAAGATATATTATGGTTTTCGTAAATAATAATTTTATATGAATATCCTATGAGAATTTAATTGGACTTGGTCCACGGCTTAGTGAGGTTTCATTAATTTGATTTATAAAATTAAATTAATTAAATTTGTAAATTACGCCATTTTATGCATTTTTATTTAATATATTTGGTTTTTGCTCTCAAACATAACACATGTTCAAATGAGGATAAACAGATACTTATGAAAATATGCTATAGATAGGATATACATTTGTGAAAATGACATGAGGAAACTTAAGAAGGCAGCGCTAACCAGATCCATCTTCCTCACAATCGAGTAGCCCGCAGTATCACAGTACACATGACACAACTCACTCTTTGTATTGAAGAAGTCGCATAGGTCCGCCAAGCATCCGCGAATATACAATGTCAGACACAAGCATAAACATCATATCTAGTGACCCGTGTACTGCAGTGGATAGGGATTTTAGCAAGCAATTCCGTATGAATATTACTAAGTAAAATCTTGTAAAGATACACTACATCTAGGATTCTGGGCCACATTCGTTAACCTATTGTGCCACTTGAAAAAAATACTTATTGTACTTAGATTTAGGTAAAGAAGCTAGCTTACAGCAAGAAAAGGCGATTATTTCAAAAGCCTTTTTACTTTTATAATAGAAAATAACTCTCAAAGAGAAATTACGCTTTTAATCTGTTGGTTGCAATACTTAAGGCCGATGGTACAATCAATAGTCATAATTCAACTCGGGGAAGTGAAAGGGCACTTGTCGCCTGACATTTGCAGGCTTTAATTAAAAATTCCCGGGTATGTGTTTAAGTTGTGTCTTCTGAAGAATTTCTTCATCTAAGATAAAACTATAATCAGTCTGCCTTAATCTTTATATCTTATTTTCCAGAAATTATAATAAAAATCTGATGTTGAAAAATATTATCATTATATACGTATATATAATTCTACTGTACGTGTGTATGTCAATGAACTCCTCTTAAACGTCTGGACCGATTTGAATGTTTTTTTTGTATGCGTTTCGGTGGCACTCTGGATGGCTAAGATTCACAAATCAATGCGACAGATGGCGCTGTTGTCGGTACTGCCATACTTAGTTTAATATCCTAATCGCGTGAAATATCACACAGGACAACGTCTGTCGGGTCAGCTAGTATAATATTACATGTCCCTTAAGAATTGATGAACTTAAAGCGTATTTAGCTACTACGATGTTGTAAACATACGAAAAATACTATAGGTAGGTCCTGTACTGGAGTGAAGTTCGTGTTCGTTCATCGTAAGGAATGTCTCAGGATAAGATTAGAATACAGACATACGCTAAGTACGTCTCCCTTATGTGAAAAACGTATTAGATTTGAAACAGAATTCTGATTACTACTGGAAAAGGAAAGGATCAAAGAAAATTTATAATATTAAAAAATATCATAATAAAACATAATTTAATCTGTCATCATATACTTTTATTTTATATAAAAATCAAATGCAAACATTCATCCATCATCTCTTTATATATAAATACATTGATATTTCTTGCATACAGCAAAAATTCAGAAAATAGCATTGGCTAATTGTATTTTAGCTAGCATTACCCTAAATAAGATTCATTTCACATTAGCGCGATATTATACATATCTGGACACAGAGCACGAAAACTAACGAAAAACCATTCCATTTTTAAATTTGCATTCGAATTAGTTTCCTTTTTCTGACAGGCGCTGTAAACATCAAATCCATTTTTGACATTTCAATAAATTTTCCCGCTGCAAATGTCATTGAATTCCATATGATGTAAACAGATATGAAAAAGGAGTTTCTTACATAAAATAATTATGATAGAATTTTTTTTGAAAGACTTCCTACTCAAGGCCCAAACAGCGATACGTTACCATAAATCCATAGGTGAATGAGTACCATTAAGACTTAAGTTTACATATAATACATCAACTTATTTTTGCTATAATTTCGATAATGGCGTAATCACAAGCAAATAATCTAATTCATAAGTACAAAAAACCTTAACAAACAGCTGGCACAACGAAGATGCGTACAAAAATATATTTAAACCCTAATTACGGACATACAAATATGTACGCCACAAATAATATACACAATAAATAAGATCATGGAATGTTATTATGAAGGGCGTGAATAACGCTAAACCATGGGCCTAAGAAAAATGTGCTTCGGTTGGCGCTTCAACATATTTTAGACTTAGTCGAATTGAATTTAATACAATCCAATTGGTTATAACGTTTTCCTTACACGCATATTATAAATTAATTACCTTGCTTTGCCTGTATCCGTTTTTAAAAGCATTATTAAGAAAACTAAATAAATTAAAATGAAACTTCTTAAATCATAGTAAATAAACAACAGACTTCTCGGATAACAGATAAAAAAAATTAAAATAAAACTTCTAACTGAAATAAAATGTTTCTTAACTAATGAGTTTCTTGTTATGCTTAACTAATCCACTTACTATGAAGCGCACCCCAAATTCATGTTTATAAAAATTTAGTCCATACCCGCTATTTGATATTTAAATACATTTATATAAGTTTAAGTAGTCTCATTGTTTTGTTTCAGTATTTAAAATTTAAATTAACTAAATAGCAATTGTACTACGTTCTCAGTGTAGTTACTGAATCCATTATTTTAATATCATATACCTAAAATCTGTATTTAAATATCAAATAAGATATTTCATACAAGAAAAAAGTATTAATTTAACAGTCCATTTACTAGGGACAAAAGTATTTTTGACCCAGTCGTATTTGTCTAGAAATAGTGACGTCACAATAACTATATAGTGCGAGAACGCACCTTATTCATAATGAGCATTTTTCATGGCCCATGGATAAATTATAGCAAAAATATACGTATAGGCCACAACGCGCAAAGCGCTAAGGATTCAGCTCCAACACCTCATCGCTGGCGATCGCCGCGATGGTAAACCACCTAAAACAGCAAGAGATTTATTAGAATAGTCTATATTGATGTGAAACATCTATAGCCGCACGTAAAACCGATTTCTGGCGTGGCGACGCATGCCGTGGCGACGCGTCGCCACACTATATGATGGTATATAGTATATACAGTCTATATGCAGTAGCGTGTACGGTGTGTGTATTTCGAAGTCACTGATTAAACGAATTAAGTAGTCACGATTTGAAATAAATTCGTAAATTTTTGTATTTAATGAAAATAAATGTTTATTTAATAAATAGTCACCGTTATCTGGAAAAAAATCGTAATATTTTATTTTATCATTATGACATATTTAGTTCCTATCACAATCTGTTCTTTACTGCTTTTCATATTACTTTTACAAAATGTCGATGTTTCACATCAGCCAGGCGTCCCGTGACGGCTCACATCTTTTTTTCATATTAGCAAACTAATAAATATCTACATAGAAACCAAAATAAAGACACCTTTATTGCATTATAGCACCATATTTAATGAAAAAGATTCTAAATAAGTCTCTCTATAGAATCATATCAAATTAATATTTGATTTGCTTTGACACAACTCTTTAAGCGAGTTTGCTTTGCGAAGCAGAGCTTAAATTATTTAAACAAATCTATAAAGTATGAGGGTGTGCAATTATTTGATGGATTACCGTAAATATATATATAATATATGATAAATTACGCAAAAAATAAGAGGGTAGTAAAGATAGTGAGCCTAGACGAATAAAAATACAAAATAATAAAACTGTCTCATAGTTGAATTTTATGTTCATGAGAAGTCCTTTAAACAATTATAATTATATCTCTAGAGAAAATAATTTCTCCCTCTCAGTCTCTTCTATTATTATTAAAACCTTGGTTTAAAACCAAGAGTAATTAACAAAACTGCCTAGAAATTTAATTGAAGAAATTATTTGTTATTGTGTAAACGTGTAGACAAAGGATTTTAGATAATTAATTAATAATAATACAACTGTTTTCTTTCAATTCGGCATGTCTCTTTGGCAGAATGTTTTCAGAGAAGTAATATATTGTTATCAGATAGAGATTGGATTTGTATAAGATACTATAGATTTTAGTATATTTTTCCAAAAAGTCCCATGATCTATAGACAGCTTACCAGCTAGTGCCCATGGGCATCCGAATATAGGGTAGTAGAAATATACGTGGTTGGTACAAATCCCTCTTCACGCGTGTGTGATCGTCGCACCCGCGTCCATCCGTCGCCTGCGTCCGTCTCTAAAACCAATAGTCGCTCTCCGCACTCCATTCGCATTGTTGATCCTGTGCCGTTAGCTGAAATTAAATAAAAATATATGACGTATAACATATAACGAAGTCTTCAATTGTTTCTGAAATTATTTTAGTGTTACCAAATGTAGATCTTTATTCTATAATTTGAACGTATTTTGTCATATAAAAACGTAATTTTAATTAATTTTCGTTGAAGTTTTACAATTGTTTTAAACGAGGTGCTTTAAAGTATACACTGCTACTTTTTAACAATTTCAAATTATATAGATTTTGTATACAAATATTTTAATTGTAAATAAAAAAAAATTACTCATACAATGATTACAAAATATTAAAATGAACTAGAATTTTATTTGCAATTAAAAGCCTTCTTATAAAAATCTCTTAGTAGAAATTGTTATACAGTTAACATTCAATTTACCTTATGATCTTAGATTAACGTTGTCATTATGGTTAGAGCAGCGAACAGATTTAATGAGTTATCTATTGACATTGATATGTTCGCCACGAGTGTGGTGACAGCAAGCAGAGCTTGGACACAAAATTATTTCAATTATGATGAATGTACTTCGTAACCTTTCATTGTCAACTAAATTAAATTCTATTTTTTCTTTTTTGTTCTTATTACAAAAACTGATGTGAGAGCTGTATATATATATATTTTTTCTTTATATAAAAATATTATTATGAACTAAAATCTGTTATTTCAGCTGCCGCTAATATTTGAGATACTGTAAAGTTACCTTCAAACGCATACAAGGCCTTACAATAGCCCAGCGGCTGCAAATCTGGCTCATAATAATAATCAAAGTCTGATTCATGATCACAGTGCTCGTCGTTTTCGTCGTGCTCGTGGTTATCCGCGTGTTCCGCGTGTGCGGCCGCCAGTTCCCCCCCAAGGCCGGACTCAGGGGATCCTCCCGCCGCCCTACTTCCCCCCGCGTTGCCTGCCCCCGCGCAGCCCCCCGTACTGACGGACGACTCGGACGCGGACCGCGATAGAGATTCACTGTTTGACCCGATACTGTAATGATAGAACATATAATATATTTCAATTCACACATAGACTATACATGAGTAGTCGATCGAATATTACATATCCTACATATACGGAATGTAAGTTTCCTTCAGCGTACAATATTTTCTTTCTATTATTAACCATTAAGGACTAAGAGATATAATTACATATTAATAGAATTAAGAACTATTAAGAAAATATTGTTACGTAGATTCGAAAGGCTAAACTGTTAACAATTAAAAAATTACCTTGTAGCTTGATTAGGTGCAGCTCCATTAGTTCTTGCGACAGGATGCAGCGTCGGAGCACAGACTTGGTTATTCGCCTCTGCCAATAGCACTTCGTATTTGCGTAACTGATCTTTTAATTTCTTCAATTTGTCGCAACACTCGTTTAGTTGTCCTAAAAATATTCGCAAATTACTTATTATTACTCCATAACAATCGCATTTAAATAAAATTGTTATTATACATTAGTATAATGTATGTACAAAAAAAACAATATAAATGACAATGTTGAAGTGCGCTGTGTTAATTTATTTTTATATTTTTGCTGCTTTAGTATTATACAGTAATTAAACAGTTTTTTACTTTTTTAAAGACGAAAAGAACATTAGTTCCTTTATATAAAACAGAAGGACTACTAACTAATTCCTATTTTTATATATTTTATAACGTGCAGAATAATTAAAATATAATTAAAGCACTTTCTTTAGTAACTATACATTTTTAGCACATTTGTTATAAAGTTAACTGTACCAAAAAACAAACGTTACTAAAATTTACTTTTTGAGTTGTAATTTTTGTATTTTTTTTATTTTTTGTAATTTTTTTATATAATAAAAATAATAATACCTTCAACAGTCATAGGATCACCTAGCGTTGGGTTCGTCTCGTAAACACCTTTCATTTTCATTAGACCTTCCATAGCGGCTTGCTCTTGCGCGACCTGAAAACAAATCATGTATGGAACTTTATAAAAAACATTGCTCTGTGTCATATTGGTTAGTTATTGTGTTATTTCCTTATACAATAATTGTAAACATGATAACAGTACCGTGCGAACTTCAAGTCCAAGTTCTATAACAACACTTTCAAATTATTGACCATTATAATGCGAATGAAATACAATTTTTTTTATTAATTTTTTTTAATTAAATTTTGAATTAATATATTTTTTTTTGTTTTATTATTAATGAAACATACCTGTTTATTTAACTCGAGTACTTTTGCTTGCAGCTTCTTTTTCTTCTGATTCGGTGGTAAGTCTGAATAATCCTCCTTTCCATCCATAGACATATTATTCTGGAATGTATATAACCATTTTATATTTCTATACAGTATGGGGCTTTTCATAAAAAATCAAAACAAATGAACTCATAGTTTTTTTTTTAATTTTTAGCTCGTGTAGTGACAAGCATTAGTACATCAAAATAAAAGTAAAGGCAAGCAAAGTACAAAATTCAGGCGTAATAAAATATACAAAATGGCTACAGAAGAATTCTTAAAAACTGGAATTCCAAGCTTTAACATCCAACACTGCTTACTATAAATCCCATCTTCACAATCGAATCCGAAAAAAGAAAAGATCACATTTTAATGCTACAATTATAAGAAATACATCCAAAAAATAATTTGATAAAATAATTTTCACTCCAAAAATTTTAACCCAATCTTTAACATGCATGTAGAAAAAAAATTTAGAAAATTCAAAGAATTGACTGATTAACTTCCAGAAATATATTCCAATTCATAATTTATACAACGTAAATTTAATTTGAGGAACGTAAATAGTTAATATAATCCATAGCATAAAGAAAATCTTGTTTTACTTTGAACCTTTCTTGTAATTTAGTAATTGTTATACTACGTGACCTTTAGTGCGATATTTAATCAACAAGTGGATAGTGAATGTTAACCAGCGCAACACAAACTGACCTTGATCGAATTGCACGCCTCAATAATCTTCTGTAGCCGAAACGGGAGCGAAAAAGCAAAATATTAAATTAAATAAAACAAAGAAAACATTTAGTGTAAGAACATGGAAAGAGTCCGATGAATTTAGTATTCGACATTGGTGAGAGGACTGTTTTAGTGAAGTATTTGTTCAACTGGAGTAACAGACAAGCACAATTATGACAAAGTAGCGAATTAATGGCAATTAATTAACGCGAGTACTACGCGTGCGTACGTAAAGCACGTAAACGTCGGGAGCGTTTAGTAATTTTAAATAATCTTCCAACATATAAATTTATTTCCCAACTATATAAAATGAATGCAACATCTATATCCCAATATTTACATTTTCTGTTTAATTTTAGCCTGTTCCTTGAATCAGTTGTTTAAGGAGTTATTTTTTTTAAATAGTAAATATGAATGTCCACATCAAATAATAATTATTTATTAAATGCTTTTTAATCTCGGCTGATAACTTATTCGATTTTTTTTCTGGTAGGGGACAGTTCACGCATGTACCATAAGACCATCTCTTTTTTTTCGTGGGGAAATGCGCATTTATATATACGCTGGCGATGTATACATACACGGTAAACCTAAGATTAATGTATGGCGTGGTATGATAATGACGGATGTAGCACAAAGATGTGAAATGAAATAATGCATATTTACCAGATTTTACTTGCAAACATATTGTGATAAACTAGAAAATTATCGTAACAAAAACGAGATGTTTTTTTATTAACACCCTAAGTCTGTTCTCCAGTAAATATGATAGGAAATGAATTAGTTGAAAACTCATGCCACTTACGTCCCCGCACCGAAAGTCAACTTACATTTTCCAAACCAGCGGCCCGCCAATAATATCAATGTTGTTTACCCAGGTTAGGTAGGGATCATAGGGGTAACAGATAAAAACATATTAGTACCTCCAACTTAATAGAACATAAAAAAGCAAGCTAACATATAGAAATCAACAAAACTCCCTTATTCACACTATTAAAACTCTTGAATTGTTGCCACAGTACTCTGTAACTCTACTCATATTTCTTACATTCGTGTCACAATAAAGCAAAATAATTTATAGGGCTCAAATTCAGAGGCTTCAGAAACACATTCTCAATCCACATTATATTGGAATTCACAGTTCCTTCGCGCTCCAATCTCGATCTGGTAAAATAGAATTAAATGAAAAACAATTTATACTATCCGTAACAGTCAAGTTCCGGCGGAAACCAACGAAGAATATTCGACCAGACCAAGATCGGATAGAACGAACTGTGAACTGCATTAGTGTTTATGCTCTTTTGAAGCCCGAATTGATTGTGTATGACACTGCCATGTATTTCAACACAACCGTATTTTATGTTAAGTGCTGCATGACCTATTTGGTATCGCGCTATTTTTATTGCATTGTATGTCATAAAATTGAAGAATTAATTTTCTTACAGTTAGAAACACTCTAAACTAAATTGGACTTTTCTAAGTACTGTATTTATCCAATTATAATAAAAGCTAATACCATATATATTTTAATATTTCAATTCCTCGTCGTCTTTATTGTTTCGTAAATATATAAATAATTAATTAATATAACGATCGATCAGACTTGCTGATTTCTCAACAAAGCACGGTGACCTCTATTTTATCTGAGGCGTAAAGCGTATAAAAATCGTTTCCTTTACTACTCATTGGTGAAAGATATGTATAAGAATTAATACATTTTAAGTAAGCTACTTGATATATTATTCTAGGCACGCATTAATTTAAATAATAGTCATTTTCAAGAGAACCCATAACCGTAAGCATAAAGAATCATATTGTTAGAGTATATAAATCTTAACGACATGAGTAAATAGAATTAAAAAAAATTGGAAAACAATTGACTTTTGAAAATTACGCATTTGAAGCGTTCCCATTTTCTTTGAACAGGGGTCCAACAAGGAGTCTCACCAGATATTAAGTGATATCCTACACATTGCTCACAAGATTGCCCTGAAAAAAATATTAACTTTGACAATCAAAACCCCCCTCACCTTATTGGAGCTGAATATAGAGAGTAGGCCTCCTCGTTTCTTAATCCGATTGCCAGATACAGTGCCCCGCGCAGCCGTGAGGTGATTGTGCGTGGGATGCGCCGGCGCAGAGTCCGTTGCATCAGCACCACTTGCCGCTTCGAAACGGTAGTCTTCGGGCGGTAGGAAGCCAGATTTGTACCTTTCTATTACTAGCTGTGTGTCCTGGAATTGTTTGTTAATAATTATTAGCTTAGTCGGAGGACAAGTTATATGTTTTAAACACATCTAAGAGTGACATTATAAAACAAATCACGAATTGTTTATTATTATTTATTTAATAACACATTAAAAATTAAAAACAAAAATTAATGTGACGGTGGAACATAAATTGATTAAAATTTTTCGGTCCATCATATATTATCGACCTACATTACAATAATAATATTATACTTAAATATTTAAAAAAAAAAATTCACATATATAACATTACTACAAAGACGGTTTTAATAAAAATGTTCCTTGATTTTTCTACAACTTAGCGACGTTTTAAGAAAACTGATTTGTGATTATTTATTTCAAGAGAGACTTTATTTCATGAGGACTGGTATTACTTCTTTGATGAAGGAACATTCTAACTTTAAATTTGGAATCAAAATTTCTTGCCAGTTGTCGCGATTGGTTTAATATTTCCAAATTCGAAATTTGAATTTTTACTAAGACTTAGTACTCAGATAACATTATTAAAAGTTATTAGTAACTAATTAACAGGTAAACGTCTACGTTCGGTGTTACTAATATAGCTTGTTACTCAAGGAACAAGTAATTTATAGAATTACAAAACCTAATGCTTGCCTACGTCGGATTAAAAGTAGATTTGCTGCGGCATTCAATCGGCCTTGGAGGCTTCGTATGGCTTGGAAACTTATCGGATTATTCCAAATCGCTTAAGCCATTATTTGCGCCTTGTACGAAAGGTAATATGATAATATATTAGCTAATCCCTTAATGTATACAAAATATTTGTGCTTATTTAAAATATCTATTAATTAAAGAAATTAGAACTTGGATTTATTAATGAGTAGGGGCGAACCCCTTCGCTCATTTTTTTTTTAAATATTTAAGATTTGTTTTTAAGAGATAATGTCTAATTTTTTAAATCGATTCGGCAGTTTTTGAGTTGGTATTTCGGTAGGAACTATTAAATATTTGCACATTATAGAGAGTAAAGAGTTGTTAGATTCTATATATCAAGTATATAGGCCTGGAAGATATCGTTACATTTAAAATTAAGTTTAAAAAACATTAGTCCGATATCACAAAGCCTTCTTACGATGGTTACGATTTTAGCCTAAGATAATTTTAATCATATATTATAATTTATAGGTAACATAATGATGGTAATGATGTAGATTTTATGGCTGTTTAATGAAACATAATGAAACCTACTAAAAAAATCAGCGATACAACCTCTTTAGGTCTCAGATTTCTGAGTCTGTTTCATGATCATTTTTTTAAATCTAATAGGCAAGTACGTGATCAGCTTCCATTGCCTGACACACGCCGTTGACTTTTAGGGTCTCACATGTCGGTTACCTCAAGATGATTTCCTTCACCGTTCGAGCAAATGTTAAATGCTCACATAGAAAGAAAGTCCATTGGTATACAGCCGGGGATCGAACCTACGACTTCAGGTATGAGAGTCACACGCTGAAGCCACTAGGCCAACATTACTCTAATGAAATCTACTAAATATGCTGTTATTTCTCCACGCAATTTTAATTAAAACTTATATAAAAAAACTCACCTCTTTCTCATTAATACTGTTTGCAGCGTGTTCCATTTCTTCTAAACATTGCATTATTATGGGAAATACCTTCCTTTCAACATCAACTGAACTCAACATGAAATTCTTGATTTGCTTTATTCTTTTCTCGTCTAGGTCCTGGGAACAAAGGGTTGTTTCTGTAGAGCCGTGTTTCGAGCCAGTTTGTATACAAAAATAGTTTTACAATTTCTGGCTTTCCACACGACCTAGTTGGCAGCGCGCCAAAGCTCGGCGCCAGTACTTAACGTTATTTTAAAAATGGAACTTTTTCAGTTAATCAACGCTCATCGACAAGTGAAGTTCAAAGACGCAAAACACATATTTAAAAATAGAACCATATTTACATAATTAATACATCGTTTAGTATGTTAAGGAAAGCTTTATAAATATTATGGAATTGGTTATTCCACTTGGCAAGGACAAAATTTCCAGTAGTAGCGATCTCCGTTCTATATAGAAACCTTTATTTACCTGAAATTATACCCAGGAAATACGCGTTAACCACAGTTATTGTTATATTGCCCCCACTAATATGAATTTGACATTATGTTTTTAATTTGAATCAGGCCTAACTAATAGAAACTTAAACTCTGATATTATTCTTATGTACCTGTAATTGTTTGAAGACATGAGGCAGCCTCTGTTCATAGTGTTGTCTCTGTGCTTCGTTAGTCTTTTTTAGTTGATCCATGTATTCCTGTTTCGCATCTTCGCACGCTTGACTTCTTAATTTCATATTAGTCTTTTGTTTCTCAACCTCGGCTCGACTGTAATGTATACAAAAAAAAATTATATTAAAAATTATCAGTTTCGTAACAAAATTGGGGCAGTATGATGTTAAACTATTGGCGCTACAACCTTGTAGGCACCTCAGATTTCTGTATCTGTTTCGTGATCATTTATTTTTCGTAATAGACAAGTAGGTGATCAGCCTATACACACGTCATCAACTTTAGGGATGCATGCCTGTTTCCTGACGATGTTTTCCTTCACCATACGAGCAAGTGTTAGATGTGGACTTTGCTCCGTGAAGCCAGCGAAGTGCCCAGAAGACTTCAGTGCTTGTGGAAGGAGCTAGGCTGGCTTAATTAGCCAGGATTTTACGCACAACGGACCGTGTATGAGTCTAAGTGGGGAAACTGAGTCCACCGACCATACATGCGGACATAGAATGAGAAATCCACTGTTGCTCAGCCGTGGTTCGAATGCACGATGGTGAAGCAAACACTGCCTTTACGATATAAAACTCAAATACTTAATATAAAGTAATAGACGGACATTTTGGATTCAATTTTTCGAGAGAAAACTTATAGAAGGCATCACGGCCGGTTACTTCACTTGGCACATATGTATTATATACATTAATGATAATATCTTTAATTAAATTTAGAAAAAACTACTAAAATTTATATTGGATGGTCCGCTGGCTACATCTACTTATACATAATAATAAGGCGTATAATAAAAAAAGAAATATTATTCTATTCTATATTTTTTTGCATATTTTTAAGCATACAGCATTCAAAACCATAACAGTAGCAAAATGACACAATTTTAAACACAATAGTATCGTACTAAAAACATGAAAATCCTTTTTACGCGGATTAAAAATTCAGCAAAATCCTGTGGTTGTTCACGAGTGGTGAACAAACTAAGCCCATTGTATCGTATGTCGGCCTAGATTTGCGAACGCCGGTTTCGCCTCAATTGAATGTCTGCGATTTGTAAACATTCCTCATGTGTCTTTAAAATAACAAGCGTTTTCATCTACAACACATTTTATATACAGACTTCAATGACTAAGTCATAGTTATAAAGATATTATAAACCTCGAAAAAAATTGTCTTCGAAAAAAATTTTTTTATAGAACTCATCTGATGACGACACTCTCAATTCCAGTTTCGTTTAGTCCCAATAATTAAGAAGTTCATCAGTTCATACCACCCCAGAGTATGGAGTTAAGCCCTCAAGTTCGAAATTCAAATTAAACAGAAAATCATCTTGTGATTTTTTTTCTTATATAGTAATTAGTAAGCGTATTAGACACGCATAAAAAAATATCTCATTACAAAATTCCTTCCGGCTTTCACTGTGTAATAAACACCGCTTTTGTAAGACTAGATACAAAATGCACATTAAAATCATCATGCACTCGAAATGACTGTTGCTACGTGGTAGCATCAGACATGAAACAAGTAAAAAAGTTGTTTTAATTCACCTGAGGTTCAGCGTTCGCCCCCGGGTACCGCGAAATCACAAGGCACAGAGAAAACGTAACCGTTTAACGTAGTCGCTTCTTAATAAAACGCCTAACACGACAGAGCTAATAGTAATTCTCAATATCGTAGTATTTATTATTATTAATTATAACGCATTTACACCTTAGCATTCGCACAACTAGTTCATAATATGGTATATGTAACGTGTTGTAAATAACGAATTTGAAATATTGTTAATATTACCGGGACGTATCGTCTTGCGAGATGCTCAACAACAATGAGTTTCTAATTTTATTTTATGTACACCTAGTAAGAAACGTGTATAAAAGACAAAGTAATAAGTCGAAAAGATTACAGATGGAAAAAGTCAATGGACCGAAAAAGCAGGAGTGTAGACCGATAAAAAAAGTAACGAATTTCTGGTATTCAAAATTTTTATATATTTCGTAACGTAAGAGGTTTTAATTTACACTCAGGTTCAATACTTGTGTAATAACGCGATTAAACCAAAACATTACATAGTGTCACTGTTATTATAAATATGTAGTTTGTTTCTTAAAGTGTGACACGTTTAAAACATTATATAGAGATTTAATTCAGTCAAAATGCGGAACACAGACAAAAGGAAACCATTTCGATAAACGTAAAAAGCCTCAAGACGGCTGAACAACATGTAGAACATACTTCATAATTAAGTAATATTATTGCGAAACTTATGATATTATTTATTCATTATCGTTTGTAGTTGTGACGTCAGATATGAAACGAGTAAAATTACCACAAGATTTCAAGGTTCCTCATAAAAAAAGGAATAGTAAATACCTTAATATCAAGTCAAACCGATTAAGGAAATCAATAAAATATTTGCATTCAATATAGTTTATTATGTTGTGAGACAATGACAATTCGCAAGATTGCAGCTGTTGACGATGGAAAACTAGATTACTTGATGCCAAAGGAAAAGGGCGTAATTCTAAATATAAAAATAACATTCAAACTATGCTACAAAACTCTGGAATATACGGTTGAATTTGTTCTGGAATGACACGAGCGTTTTTGTGACAGGTTACTGTTTAATGCATACTCGTGCAATCATATGGATATAACGCAGTGACGCTTTTAACGGGTCGTTAGTCCGTTAGAAATATTTACACACACATAGGTTCATTGCAATGAGCTATGTCGTTAAGTTATTGTTAATGTATAGGGTATTAGTTATCACGCAAAGTGAGGTATTTCTGTACAAAAATATACCATCTATTTTTGTACTACTACGATAACTTTGAAGCTACCTTTTTTATCCCGGTATAAAATAACACCAGACACTTTAGGCCAAACATATTTTTATTTAAGTGTCAGCTAACAGGAGTTAATCTAATATATAAAATTCTCGTGTCGCGGTGTTTGTAGTTAAACTTCTCCGAAACGGCTTATCGGGAAATTTTGTGTGCATATTAGGATTGTCTGAGAATCGGACAACATCTATTTTTCATCCCCCTAAATGTTAAGGGTAGTCCACCCTTAAATTATTATTTTTTAATTTTTAGATACATTTTTTTGTTTTTATTTTTTTATGATACAGCATTAAAACATACATACAACCCCTAATTTTCACCCCTCTACGATCAACCCCTATTTTTTATTACAAATGATATACATGTCAAAACGACGTTAGCCCGGTCAGCTAGTTATAAATAAAAATCTTCCTAATAAGATAAACTTAAATATGAAACGTGATAAAGAAATCAAGCTTAGTTATTGTTGATGTTTTAGGTTGAAAAACAATAAAAAACTATTATAAACCAACTTTACACAGTAGATACATCACAACAAAAGAGGGTTACCAACTTAACACAATTAACATTGACAGTTTAGACAACATGAAAATATAATGGGTACTAATTAATTTTGTAAGTTAAGAAGGGTACGAAGATACTGCGACAAGGATAAGATATACCTATCGCTATCTTATATTCATTCGCTGTCTACAGACGCGGTATAAACAAGTTCGCACCGAGTACACTTCGTCGGAAAAGTGGAAGGAAAGGCTTAAGACCTGACTTGGGTTCCTATTTGGGATATTAAAATTTATTATTTATATTGGTATGTCAGAGATAATTCTAAGAGATATAGAGACTAACATATTTATAGAGATACGGATAATATATATATTATCCGTATTACGTGACCTCGTACTGTAACGTATTCAAATAATTAACACTGGCGGGACGGATATAGCACTAAATATCATCTGAATATTCAAATTTATTGGAGTTAGAATTGTATTTTGACCTATAAATTCGGACCAAGATTTCAAGCAAAGACCAGACCTACAGCGATTTCCGATTTCTGGTTTTTAAAGCGAAAATTACTCAGTATACACGTTTAATCACTTTAAATCGGTGATTAAAAACATACTGTATATGCTTAGTGAAATTGCAATTCTGAATTTCACATATGGTGGAAGCACAAATGTAAAATTCATTGTTGTACAATTAATCTATTTGGATGGTTAATATTAATGTGTCGAATTCCGGTCAAATTTACATATACATAGACAAGGATAACAGTCCGTGTAAGTATCAATTTGATTTTTTTTTACCGGAAATATATTTTGTATATTATTAAATGGTCTAAGATCCCGCTATACAACGACCTTCACCGAGATGCTTATTTAATGAAACTTATTTTATATATAATTTAATATGTCAATAAATATAATCCATATGGGTTGCCATCAAATTGCCGGGCATAGTTAATTAATTTAAAAAAAAATATTTTTTAAACCATTTCACCGGTAGATCACATTAGATACATTCTATACCAATCGAACGTATGAAGCCCATATGAATCATGCAAAAGTTCGGTTGTTTTTAGTCGATTAAGTATTTATGTGTATATTTTTATGTGACACTAAAGTATATATACATCTTTAGAAAGAAAGGTTATAGTGGATATTAATAATACTACCCTGATTAAAAATATTGATTAACAAGTTCAAAATTTACGACATGCAAATTATAAAAAAATTTTTTTAAATATTAATTAAACATACTCTGGACTGAAATTTTGCTAGGCAACCCATATGGATTATATTTTGTACATTATTAAATTAAATATAAATAAGTTCAATCTGGGGGAAGGTGGTTGTGAAGGGGGATTATACTAAAAGTAATTACAACATTTCTCGTCTTTCGAATCCCATAAACCAGTTGAGCTACAGAAAATATTACCAATACCTTGTACAGTATACAAACAGAATTTTAATTAAAAATGACCTGAAATAAAATTAAAAAATATACAGGATGCTGGTATAAAATAGAAAATATTGACCTGAGATTAAAGTCCGCGTCTGCCCGTTGAAAGGCCTCTAGTGCCCGTTCCGACTCTCTCGCCGCTCGCTCGTACGCCCGCCTCGCACGCTCCAATGCACCCGCCGCTGTGCTCAACACCGCCATTTGTTTCGCACCCTCGTTCAAGTGTTGCTGAAATTTGCAGATTTATAGGATTAATGTTCTATTACAAAATAGTATGTAGGAAAAAATAAATAAAAATACAGTCGAAAATGCCTCCATCAAATCTCATACAATCCCGAAATTCTAATCTATTAACCTAGATAACTAGAAATATTCCATGGTTCGCTGCACTAGATACTCCACATGCATTTCTTTTACAAACTAGCAAACTTTGGAATCGGCTCCCGGTGGAGGTCTTCCCTAGGAGATACGACCCCCCCAATTATTTAAAAATATAGCGTTCTGCTCCGTCCCACTAAAATGAGTGACAGCGGTGACTGCCTTTTATGGCTGTCCCGTAGACTCGTTTGCCTTCCTATTTTATAAAAAATAAATTAGGTAGTACAAATTATTTAAGTATGATCCATTAATCTATAAGGCTTTTAATTCTTACCCTAAGCCAGAGCAGAGATATATAAATATTAAATAAATATAGAAACACAATCGGAAAAATAATACACAATAATAAAGAATTTCAACTATTTATGCCCCTTCTTCTATAACCTTGTGTCTGCTAGTTTTACGTAAAATCCCATGTTTTATTTATCCTATGTTATAATTATTACATCATCTAGTTTTAGGTTTTAATTAATGAAGCATGCGCGTTGACTATTAGCGAATTCCTAATAAACAATGAATGCCAAGGTCGAATACTGAATGTTCGGTTTCTTACTGTCGTAATTAGAGCGAACCACAGATTTCCAATTCGCGTTTTAGTAAGCAAATTGCCAGAAAGGAATGTTACCATACCCATTATTATACTTTATAGTCTGTTTTTGGGGTATTTGGGTTGAAAACGACAATTTAAAACTTCCTACGCGCGAACGTTTGGCAGATACTTTATATCGCAAGCTTTAATATCGTTTTCTTGACTGTTGTAAAATTAAAACTACTGAACTACGGATACGGTCGGAACTTTACCTCTGTGTTTCTGGTATGGAGTAATTGTTTGATGTGTGATAATAATTTTAAACTAAAATGTTCGCCTTTTTCATAAAAAATTAAGTCAGTTTATAGAGGTAAGGCATTTTCTAAAAAATATAATTAGATTATTTTCATAAACGGCAAATAGAAAGTTAGTTAGTTAGTTAGTTAGTTAAAGTAAGACCTTTTGTCGGATTTATACTAAGTGTCACGCTTTGACGCCCGTCATATTTCCCCGTAATTATTGACGACGCGTCTCAGGCTCACACATACACACATACGCCTAATTGTCTATTAAAAAATCGGTTGTCTGTAAAGTCGGTTTACTGACGATAGTTGAACGTGACAACGTCATAAAAAATATTGATGGGATGGTTGCATTTTTAAAAAAAAAAATTAAATTTTATTTGTTTGATAGGTATTTTGTATGGATATAGAGAAGGAGGTAAATGGAAATCACAATTGAATTGATCAAGTTACATTTATTTGTACGCATAAATACAATTATGTCAATTTTAAATGTAACCTCAGAGCGAGGTAACGCCTCAGAGAGAGGTAACGCCTCAGAGCGAGGTAACGCCTCAGAGCGAGGTAACGCCGCATGAGTCATGTTTTTTCGTGCGTGCACCGGCTCCATCGAATTATAAGACGTTTCACGTCAAAAATGATCATAGAGACTGCAATCTAAAGACCCATAAAGGGATTGTAGCGCCGAATTATTATTTTTCATACACAAAATGAATACCATTCATTTTATCATCAATATTTATGTCTTCTTAAACCAACCTTCCTCTCCTCTCGCAACTCTTTTGCGAGTAAGTGCAACTCTCGAACGACATTGGACTGTAAGTTCTCAGCAACAACTTCGCGTTGCCCAGCGAAGTCGCCCAGCTCTTGTAACAACTTTTTGAACGCTTTACATGGTGTGTATCTGGAAGAAAACAATAAAATTTATAAATTGTTTATATTTCAAGCGCACGTGTTCTTAGTTATACAAAACATTATGTCACCCACAACATAAGCATTTTTATTATAACATTTAGGTGTTAAAGCGCCAATGTCGAACCAAGGTCACGAATTAGAGTCTATAAGGTTTACATTCTGAAATTACAGGGGGTTAAGAAAATATTTATTAATATTATTTTATTGCGTGTATCACCTATTTGGACCAGGGTTAGCCTTATTGAGATTATCACCACTGATCTTTCTTCATATGTGTACAAAATTTGAGGAAAAACGTTTTGTGTCGTGCACAGGAGGCTGATTAGTAAAACCTATTTGCTTATAATCAATAAAAATCAAAAATGTGTCTGGTGCACGTCACATTCTTTAATTCTATTTTTCTTATTTAAAGTTCAAAATCCAAAACAGTACTAAGTCGGAACCGAATTCACAATTAAAATTCTTGTTTTTCTATATTCATTCAAAGACAAGAAAACACTGATGATACTAGACTTAAGCCGTCTTTCGTCCTCATATTACATTTACCTTAATCTGCATAATTCCTATTTGTTCAGTAAAAACCGTTACGTGTTCATAATTAAAGAAATAACAGGAAAAATTTAATAATCATGAGCTAGCATTATTCATTTGTATTAATTGACTAACCACCACTAATGAGTTATTCGATTAATAATATTTTAATTTAAAGCATATGGAACAAGCTAGACACAGGTCTGTTAGCCTAGTAGGTATTTTAAGATACGTGAGGCAAACTCTCAGAATGCTGTAAAGCATACGCCCGCGTACTTTGCCGGCCTTTAAGAATTGTCAACTACTTCTTGCTCGGTAACGCGTTTACTCTTTTGGTGAAGGACCATCTTTGGAGACTTAAATTCCTACACCGGGCCAAAAGGGGTATTTTCATGGCATTCATGGCGTGAGCGGCGGATAGTTTCAGCGGATAAACCGTCCGACCTTCATAAATTTTAACTAATATTGAATGTATAAAAAAAGGACGTGAAAATGTTTATGATAAATAAATAATAACTTACTGATATTCATCTTCTTCTTTCCTTTTAGGTTGGTAGTTTTTCACAAGCCTCCTGAAAATACACTCTATTAAAAACCTATTAAAACTGGCTATATTTGGATATAAGAAAATATATTTTTTATGTAAACAAAGTTTTTTCTGGCACTGGGAATCGCATCACTGCGTTAGTGAGTCAACTCACTTTCTCAAAATTTTACTTGACTCGACATCTGTCAATATCCTCTTGCAACATTATATTTTTCTAGGGAGATCATTTTTAACTAGTCATTAAAGACATCTACAATAAACTTAATTGATACTGTGATGTGTGAGATTTTGGTCTAGCGCAGGCTACGTCTAAATAAGTGAGTTGGCGCACGAAATTTTTCAATTTTTCCATCTCCACCTCTATCTTTTTCAAACCATTGCAGATGTATTTAAAACCAGAATACCACATTCAATTGAGGAACGAATGTGGAAAAACTATTATATTATAGATAATTAAGATAATAACAGCTAATCTCTATAATTGATATATTCGTTTCGCATTCAGTGAAAGTCGATATTCTGCTATTTAACATACAAAATACTGGTTTCGACTTATCCTTACGTACATTATGCAAGACTACAACTTTTATTTAATTTTTATGTTTCTCTTTCACCAAGTTCCTGGGTGAAAGCATTGTCGGCTTTCTATCGGCTATATTTATTACATAATGGTAACATATTACAAATACATCCGTATTATATACAACCAATCTTAAAACTTTTACTATCATATGAGAATATTATTCAGTCAAAATCTGTTATAACGACATCGAAGGGTCTACTCATATTTGGTCGTAAAAACCCATAGTCGTAACAGCCGATGACGTTGTTATTAAGTACCTAATACAATAGAATTCAGCCGGGACCTTTGATTTTGGTCAATATAACCGGTATGTTGTTCTAAATGATGTCGTCGTAAATGGTTTTGACTGTATATGAATATATGTGGATAGTGCTAAATAAATCTTTTTATAAGCAACTGTGCCCAGCAAGGATGCGTTTAAATTAAATAAAAACTGATTGACTGTCTATATATAAGTTCGAAAACCACGAGCCAGATTTATGGTTAAATTAAAGTTTTTAAAAATTGTTACAATTACTCTGGTAACAGTTTATTTATACAAACATACTATGTACTTAGGTCAGTGCAAAGCCGCCAAAACAAACGATTTACAAAAATTATTGTTCATTTAAGAAAGATATTAATACCTAGTTCATATAATATTGCAATTTGCAATAACGGTGCAAAGACTATAAAAGTCAGCGGAAATCAAATAACGTTTAATTATACGCTTTATATTCAAGTAAAAATTTCAACTTTAGTGTTTAAATTAATTTCCAAATATCGCCTTAAATAGCCTCTAAAGAGCCTTCGGAATTGCGCAAGCACAAGAATTATATTCAAAAACACATTTAGTTCAAAATCATTTTTGCAATTTTTCACGGCTTACGAAATCGAAAATCTTTGGGAAAAAGTTATTAATTAATTTAGGCTTACCTTAATTTCCCTGCATATTCTAGTTCAATAGCGCATCTCTCTTTGACGAAATTACCGTATTTGTCTAGGAACTCTATCCCTTTATGTGTATGGGCGGCTAAGTTATCATATTGATCCTGCGAACAAAGAAAAACAATATGAATAAATAATAGTTGTAATTTTAATAAAATTTCTATGTTTTAAGACTATGAGTACGTATTAAGAAAACATATAAAAAAATATTATTAGGTTTATTTGTTTAGGTTTACCATTTCTATTATATTTTTCTTTTACTTTATTATTGTAATATTTTTAAATTATGAAAACAATCATTTCTTTAATGACCCTTTTCTATACTTCTAATTAAAATTAGTGTGTAGGATTTTTATGGATACGCAACAGAGCTGGAACCAGAACAAAATGTCTATGACATATTTGTCGCTTAGAGTAGTACCAAGATACTACTACTAGGTAAGTACTACTTGTATTACTAGATATTACTCTACTAATACAATCATTATCAAAAGTTAAGCGCGTTAAAAAACTCTTTTCATTATTATATTCAGTTGGTCATAGAAGGAAGTTGATCACGATAGTTAACATCGGCGGAAACTGACGCAAACCTGATAACCAAAGTGATTACACACCACGTTCTTTAATGTTATTACTAACATAACGAGTGCAATCATATAAATATTACTTAACACATAACTGCAACTATCTTTAAACTGGTGTTTCACTAAATATATGTATATATATCCCTTATTTATCGCTAAGCTTGACTGGTAACCAACACCGATAAAACCTTTTGTTTATCGATTCGATTCCCGAGGAAAAATTTAAATTTAAAAAATAATTAATATTAATATTTTATTTTAAAAAAGCAATAGGGCCGAGTCGGATATGTTCTATGTGTGCTACGAATCTGGTAGATATTTATGCATTTCAAATTAATTATTATAACATATGTTTAATATTTTTTTACAACTATTAATTTGCTGAAAAGGTAGACCTATTTTAACGTGAAATTATAAAATAATATAAATTATTATTGAAGTCATCTCGTGAACACCATTGTCAATACATAGTAAACCTAATATATGTATTTCTAATTATTTTAAATTAATTCTAATAAAACCTTGCGGTGCGATGCGCATGCGACTTTGACTTGTCAGTCACACGGTGCAACCGCCCTTGACTCACACGATTGGGAGCAACGACATCTTTGCCATTATCAGACCTTATCATTGGAATTGCCACATAAAATCATCGTCCGAGCGTCTCAATGGCCAATTGGTACACAGAGTAATGCAGCTGGCTCAATGAACTAGCCTTTGTAAGTTTGATTTTTCCGTTAGATTATGTTAAAGTTATGTTGTTGTCTGGTAATATCTGAGCAGGAGCAACAGGGTAGGTACATAATATTTCTCTGATAATTTCGCGTAGGAAAACAGGTAAGACTTCAAAAAATACAAGACTAGCAGACTTATTTATTACCTTAAAAGAATCCTTTTCGCTTATAATCGTCTCATACAAGCAAAAAAGAGTAAACATGAACAGACTAGGAAATCACTAGTGCGAAACTATTCCTTTAACCGATATTAATAATGTATGGCATATGAGTTTCCCAAAAGTCGTCGTGTTTTGTACGAAGTTAGGTTGTAAACTAAATCTCATACACCACGCTTCCGTTCGATGATTTAATAACGTTTTAATAACAGAAAGCAGACGCCGATCGTAGTTTACAATACACGTACGTACGATCAATATCAAGGGCTATTCGACTAAACAAGTAACCACAAATAGCTCGGAAAGGGCTAGAAGCAAAACACTTCTCTTCCGAATAACGACAGTCATGTAAATAATGAACGATAATAACACTACCAAATATAGTCATAGGCATTTAATGGAAAAGATAAATGATGCTATTTCATTTCAAGCATACTTATGAAAATGTATGGCAAAGTAGTAGGCTTACAACGGTTGTGCCTATTCGGCTAATTCCGCTAAAAAAGCAACAAACAAATACTCCGGTACTTTTACCACAACCGCTGTAGTACTCACTCACAATACAGGGGATTCCCTGGTGTGGAGTTAAAAAAAGGATATTATTAAAAACCTTAATAAATAAACAATACACCTAACAATTATATAATATTTAGTAATAAGAAGGTTCAGGCGAATAATTACACGTATTGCTCGCCGTTTCATAAGTTATAATAAACCATAACATAAAAATGTCCAGTCATAATAATGTCGAAGCACATTAAATTCAGTAGCGACACACCTGAATCGCGTGTTTATTGACCGATAGTGAAATATGGAGGCAAACACAATGCCAGTATTGTAAGCTAATGTAGTGCAGGCCGTCCCGTTAAAGTCCTGCACTTGCTGTTATGTTCTATATTTAAACGAAAAAAATATAAATGGCCAGTGTATCAAACACGGGCTCTACTGTTTATGTTTTTTGACAGCTCGCTTATTATTTGGAACGCCAAACTACAATGGCGATGGCGAGTTACTCGTGCAAAGCTACTGCTCCTATATTCTTCCTTTTCAGCTTTTCAGATGCATATCTAGAAAAGAGAGCAGCTGATTATCAAATTTAGTTATTGAATAAAACAATTGCCATAGAAATTTGGCGCCAAAAAATACACGTAAGTTTGTAAGTAGTTATTGGATTATTATTATTGCACTGTGGTTATCCAAATTTTACTGTATTTTACTATAACCTACATTGTTTTACTCTACTTCCAACAAACCGTAAGTATGTCAAATCGTCCGTGCAGTGTATGTTAAAACGGGATAGTTTTTCACGCGATATATAATTAACAAACATTCTATATATTTAGCATCTTCATATCACAAGCATTTATTTAGTACCGTTGCTTTGCCCGACTCTAGAATCTCGTCTAACGAGGTTTCTTTCATAATTGCGTCTCAACTTGTACGCATCATCAACGCTAAACGATAAAAAGCTAAATTGCTTCTCATTATTTTTTTAATTGACCAGTTACTATGGCATATCTGACAGATCGATTGAAGGTTTTACTTCAATCCGTAACGAAATAATAACTGATCAATTCTCTATGCAAGCCTTGCCAAGGTATGGTCTGTTTTTAATAAGGACACGTACGATACAGACTTATTATACATATATACAGATTAATATATATATATATAATATATATATGCTTCTTTTAAGATATGCTATGTAACTCAAGCAGGTTTCTTGAAAGCAAATTCATAACCATGTTGATGAACAGGTAGATTCGCGACAAGTACGTACACTGATCAATACGATACAACCTATTTGTATTATGTGAATGTTTTGTGCGCATACACATATTACGTCTTGTAACATCTCAAAACTTTAACATTAAAGTTAAAACGGAAGAATGTTCCTAAAGGGTACATACATTCTATATATTAGGTAACAGATAGACTCCATTCGCAACAAGTGTTTACACTTGATCACGATACAAATTTTTCGATGTCATAAAAAGTGAAAGGTATTGGTCAGGTAGACATGTGTCGGTTCAACGGCCATGTTGAGGCTCTGTGGGAGTGGACGTGGGAGTACTGGAACCATTTTCCGAGTAGCGCAACACGATCCTAGTGCGAATACGCAGAGGATTATATTTACAACTAACGTTGTTAACTTTATCTGGTCATTACTCCGTCTCTTCGAAGAATAATAATAATGTATGTAACTTTAGCCCTTATGATGCTTTAGATAAAACTATTCAGATATAAAAAACTCGCCTTATTTAGACAAAAAAATATGTACTCACATTTATCCCCTGCAAAAATAAGTTTATATGAAGGTCAGTAAACAATTTGTTCATAAAATGTGAACGTATTAATTTGTACCGGCATATAAAGTTTAACAGAAAATAAGTCCTTCACCTTGAACAGTGTTTGTATAAAAGGGTAATGTATTTGTAGATCCAGATAGAAATTATCATTATCTCCGCATTTTATTTCAACATCTTCATAATTCGATAACAGATCAAAATACGCAAAACGACCAAAACAGTCTCAATGACAAATAGTTCCATTTCGGAACAATTGTTTTGCAAACATATTGGTCATAGTTTCGGAGGCCGGCGCCATAGCGAAGGAATGTATAGTACGTTATAACATCAGTATTCCGTACACATAAGCGGTTACCGACACGTGTACCGGCTACTTCGGTTAATTATTGGAATACATGCCTATAAGACATTCCTTTATTGGTATTTTTTCATTGATACTGTTGGATTAAAAAAAGAAAAGACTAGAATACTGTTAGACTAAAAAACAAACGACTTGCACACTTTAGTATTATTTTTTATTATGTAGGCCCCATTATTACGACATATTTTAATAAATTGTCCTAAAGGTTTGAATATATTATGTGTGTGTGAGTCTTTTTCAAAATTCCATAAGACAGAATACCAAATTCCACCCGTATCAGCTCGATGCACGTCGTTCCACACCTAAGCGTTTTTAAGGCAGTTTTTGTTGCGCGCCACCACTATAGAACCAGCTGCAGACTGAAGTATTTCCGAACCAATTTGACTGAGGGTACCTACTTCAAAAAACCCAATTCCAAAAAGGCCAGCAACGCACTTGCGTGCATGACATTGAGTGTCCATGGGCGGCGGAATCACTTAACATCAGATGATCTTCCTGCCCGTTTGTCCCCTGTTCTATAAAGAAAGGATGTACTTTTTTCTTAACATTCATATTATTTGAACTTGTCAGTATTTAGGAGTTTGAATTATCCTTTTCATTATACATAATCCACTAAAGTGAAGAATTTGTCATTTAAACGCACATCGTATAAACTATAAACAAGGCCAACGATCGCGTTGTAATCATAGACAATCGTTAGCGAGGGCATTATCTTAGAAACTAGACAATAGACACGTCACATTAGCGTCTTGACTCTTAACGACATTATGCAAAGAAACTGAGGGAACTATCAACAAAAGCGTTTAAACCTACGAAGTTCGATATATCATGCGCATAGAAGATACAGACACTTATAAACGACAAATTTCACAGACTACCATTTTTCGGAGGACTCGAAAATATCTTTGAAACAGTTTCTATTAACATTTATTTCCTGGCACATTTCGCTATGGAACTTTCCTTCCACTTGACGCAATTATAATAAATCTTTTATTTGCCTTGAAAGTAATACGTATATGATATGCCAATCAGCCATATCAAACTAGCATGCAAATGTCGAATTATGATGAAAAGCAATTAAATTAAACTTTACACTATAGAATGAATAAGATAAAACTATAGATAAAAGAGTGAAATGATTACTTGACCACGTAACAAAATTTCCTTCCTTTATACCCAACAGTTTCCATTTGCATTAATAAGCGGACACGCACGAACGATTCGCTCAACATTACCCAGAACATAAAATTGTATTGTTTCATATAACCTTTCACACGCTGTTCATACGTTTATTTCCGTTCTCTCGTGAGGATTGAGGAGTCACACCGGATCTTTGACAAATCATTCCATGATTCACTTACAACGAATATTACTCATTCTTTATCAGACAATAAAAGATAGTTTCCTGATAAGATTGTTTGAAATGTATAGTACATAATATCTATAGTATTATGTAAACAATGTACAATTGAAATAACGTCTTTTATTACGCACC